AAATAAAGCAGATAAAATCCTCGGTGCTATCTCTCCTCCTATATGGTTGTGAATGCTAGACAATTACCTCAAAGACGTAGACACCGAAATATGGTTCTACAGAAGGAAGCTAAGGATGACATGGACCGAGATATCTGAGCAATGTCGAAGTCTTAGAGTAAATGAAACCAAAAAGTAAATTTATACGTAACTCCAAGAATAAACAGTTGATATTTTAGAGCACATAAGGAGGAAAGAGTGCTCGCAAATTATGATACTCCCAGGGCAGATTGAAGGCAAAAGGGACAGAAGAAATATCGAATATCATACTTAGTGCGCCTCAGTAAATTCATGATCATATTTTAAGATAAATACCAAAAAGGTAAAATTAATTAAAAATTAAAAAGTACATGTAAATTTGGAGAGCTATGAATGCATATTTCCCGAGGGACGAGTGCACATAAAAAAGAATGTGACTGGATTGGCAATTAGGTCTCATTTTAAAATTTCACTTACTACGCATAATAATATGTACGCTAACAGATTATCATATCGTAATTCTCTCGCGTTGAACGTTAATTTTGTTCTTTTTTTTCTGCAGTCATCTCTGATCTTCAAAATTATAAATGTAATGTCTGTAATTATTATCTGTTTTCTTCATTACAACTCTTTTATTGTTCTCTCGCCCTAATACATTTTTTTCGTATTCATTCAATTTAGTCACCCTTTGCGCGTTAGTAAATTTTGTGCCTTGCTTGTGGTGAAATGATGAGAAATATAATCGAAAGAATCATTTACACGAGAATGGGATAAGTAAAATATATCTTGTATTAAGGAATAATCAATATAAAATAAAAAAAAAATATTAATCTATTCCTATTTCCGGTATAACTTACATTTAGAAATTTCTATTGTGCTATAATTTATCACGTCATAATATATCGAAACTTGATTCTAAATATCTAGAGGGGAAATCCTTTTGCAAATAAAACAGAATTTTATGTGATAGGATGGAGAAACCTAATGCCGCATAAGGACGTAATAAATAAATATTTCGAAAATAATTTTCAATACGCCTGATTGAAACAAAAATAATACTATCGCCATTCAGTTACTAAAAAAGATGCGTCTCTCTGGCAGGAGTCGCGACCTTAGTCCAACTGGAGCGAAGATCTAACGACGCAGTTTTGTATCTCGCGGGTTAGCACATATTTTTCTTTAATATGATTTATCGAATATTCAATAAAAATATCATTTAAAATGATAAAATATCTCGGACTAATAAAAAAATCCATTATTTCTTTAGAAAAATTCGTGTACATATATATGTATATATACAAATTAATAGGGTCATCAACATACAGACCTGTTTCGCATTATCACAGATGTATATACGAATGTAAATAAACGCCAGTAGCCAAGAGTGCTCGATTCATTAATGAAGAACAGAGCGTTAACAGCGTTGACGGCCATGTGGGAATTATCTTTTCCTCAATAGTGCTGGATCGAATAGAAAGAGCTTTAATAAATATAGCCATCCACATGCAGGCGTGATGCCATGTATCATAGCTAATCAGTGTGGCTAGACATCCGGTTGCTTAAAGTCGGCTCCAAAACACAACCGATTTTGGCTATCGGCGCATGTCAGAGAAAAAGGGAAATTCTAACGTTTTATATATATATATATATATATATATATATATATATATATATATATATATATATATGTGTGTGTGTGCATGTATGTGTTATGGGGTCCTCCCCTTTTCCATAAAAGTGAAGTGTTACTTGGACTGCTGCCGTTAAATACCCAGAGTCAGTCAGAATATAGGGAGAGTGAGAAGAGATTGTGATTGAGTTGGAGGTAGAGTAATAGTGTAAGGTAACCGTTTGTAGAAGTCAGTTACCAGCACGTGGACTCTAAGGAAGTCCTACTTCGAGAGTGTATACATATATATTATTATTGCTACTAACGGCGTTCCTGGATTTACTAACAGTATTACCCATTGTATTATTGTGTAAATACGTTTAATTTCTTATCTTGCGTTTGTCATTCATTGGAGACCGAATTTCATCTCAGAATCCACAACAGTATATATATATATATATATATATATATATATATATATATATATATATATATATATATATATATATATATGCACAGACACATATATGTGTGTGTGTGTCTGTGTGTGTGTATGTGTGTGTGCATAGGGGGTTAACAGTTTTCAGACAGATTATATCTGTAAAACGAAGATACTATTAAAGACCAAATTTCAATGTAGAATTGTTTCGTTCGATCAGTGTTTTTATTTGTTTGATTATCGTTCTGAAAGCGCCTTGGAGGATACAGTTCATTTTGACGTTTGAGTTCCTGATGATCCAGGAAGATTCTAATTTTCCTTCGTCGGAAAATTGGAAGACAATTTCATGTGAGAGACAACCCATGGAGAAACGTTTGCAAGTACTCAAGATGCAACGTCTGCGATTTTTCTGACGAGCTTTTGCATTGAACACTACATATAACATCAAATCCAACTGTTGAACTCTACATATAAAATCAAATTGGATCGTTGTAACAATTCAAAAGTGGACAAGGCCGTTTTGATTTTGGCCGAATTATGCGATCACCTGATGTTTGGGAGTTCTTAATGTTATCTAATTTTGAAGCAATGGAAAGAAAGAATGAAAGATAATTTATTAAATTTTAGGGTGGGGATTTATATTTAATATCATTTTTTCCAATGATGGAATATATATATATATATATATATATATATATATATATATATATATATATATATATATATATAACTATTTTTTTAAAATATGATTTCATCGCTACCCTGAATATTGAAACTGACTCAAGACATAACGTTTAATTTCAATATTGAACATAAAATTTGGACTAGTTTCATTCTCAAGCAATGTTTAAAATAACTAAATGAAGAAGTATTTTATTCATTAATAGGTTGGAAATGGAGGTGTAATCTGGTGTTTTTTCTTTCGTTAACAAATTGTCACTACTGTGATGAAAGTATGAATGGTTATTATACGTAAAATTTCTGAGGCCTATGAGTTTGGATTGGGGGAGTTTTGTCTTGCTGCAATGGCCTTTTTTCCAAACTATTCTTTAAAACGACTGATAATTCAGCCGTTTTAAACGGAACTTGTATAATTCTGTCCAAATACACAATTATTTAAATATATATATATATATATATATATATATATATATATATATATATATATATATCTCGAAATAAAAGTATAAAATTTAATATTACAAGACATATTAAAACAGTATTAAATAATAAAAAAAAACAAACTCAACAACAAGGGGGGGGAAGCGACCGGTTTCGCTCCCGCTCGTCAGGCTTCCACGGAGATTGAAAATTAAAACAGAGAAATGTACAATAGGTGGAAAAAAAATTACACACACACACACACACACACACACACATATATATATATATATATATATATATATATATATATATATATATATATATATATATATATATATATATATATATTTGTTCGTATATATGCAAGAAGGAACTAGAGGCAGATGACAGAGTCCCAGCAAACACTCACGTTGTTTGCACAAAAGAAGGCTCGTAATATTAAATTTTATACTTTTATTTCGATCATTAAATTTTGTACCTACAAAAATATCTTTTAAATATATATATATATATATATATATATATATATATATATATATATATATATATATATATATATATATATATATGCTATTTTTATTTGTATATATGTGTATTTCTTCGATAGAACCTGAACAATATGATTAAAACCCATATATTTTATTATGAATTATTTTTTCATGGCACAATATCTTTTCAGTGCATTTAATTCAGGGATAAATATTACTCCTATAAATCAACATTATACGGTAAAATATTCGGATAGAAATTCGTCTAACTACAAATCAGGCTATAGACTTATTGACTCTTCCTATAACACATGCAAGTGCATATATGTGTAAGCGGTAATAGAAAGAGAGAGAAAATGAGAAGCCGAGAGAAAACCATGGCAAATGAAGTGAAAATATAGCGAGGTTTAAGTTGAAGAATGGGAGTATGTCTTCTTAAAAGGACAAATGGATAAACATAGAAAGAAAATAAGACTAAAGTAAGGAACCTAAATCAACGAGGAAGACGATAAAGAAAAACAAAATGTGGATATTGATAAGAAGGATAGACTTGCGACGAAAATGTAGAAAAACCAAAAAAGAGATCGTCCAAAATGACGAGAAGCGTTGTAGATAAAATTGTCCCGTGATCTACAGACATGAGTGTGTGAGAAGAAAGTTTATTTATGGTGGTAAAGTCTGACAAGGTTCAGGTACACTTGTGTATAGAAAACTGTTTCCCCTCTTCCTCCGCCTCTTCCTTCATTTCTTCATACTCCTCCCTCCTCTTAGAAGTATTAGTATTTTCATCATCATCATTATTGATTGTTTTGCTGAAGTAACTTTTAAGTGTTTTTTTTTTTTTTTTTTTTTTTTATTATGTACTGTCCTATGTTTTTGTTACTGTCGGTTTTATAGCCGGTTTCTGCTTGCAATAAAAGAAATAAAAAAAAAACAAACCCGGAAAGGCTTCCGAGAGATCGATTGTAAACGGCAGATAAAGTGGAAAAGATGGAAAGAAATACAGAAAATCTAGATGTAGTAGGGAAGTTTTTAACTTTTAAATGGCCGTAACTATTGGCCGACTCATCAGTAATATATGTTATTTTTATTTGCTTTATTTTCTTCCACTTTTACTTAGCCTTACGGTTCCAGGCCTTAATTTATTGCCTCGTTACATATTCTTTTTTTCTTCTTCTTCGTTTTATTTGATTATATCTTATCTCTACTTTTTAATATCAACATATATCACGATATTCTTAGTCTTAGCTGATATAAATATGCTTTTAGATTTTCACTTTATATCTTACGTCTTTCCAACTTGTCATTTTATTTTTCTCATTTTCTCCATCTAACTTACGATATGTTATTTCCTCTCTTGTTTTTCTTTCCATTTTGTTTTATTTATCTTCTAACGTTTTGTTAATATTACTTATTCTTTTTTCTTCTTCCTTCTTGATTTTCATCACGTTTTTTGTTTCCTAATCATTTCTGGAGTTCTTTCTTTTTCATTAAGTTTCTTCATGACGCAGTTTCTTATTCCAATCTTACTTTCTTACTTTCTTCTATGATTTCATTCCAGTTTTCTTTCGTTCTAACGGTTTATTTATTCCTTTGTTTTGTTCGTTTAATTTTTCATTTATTCGTTCGTTTATTCTTTTTTTTATATTCATATCTTTGACATTTTTTATTTATTATAATTTCTTCTTCCTGTTTTCGTTTTTCATTCCTTTCTTTCTTTCTTTTTTCTTTTCTGTTCATTTTTCCAATAGAAAATGTCAAATGTTCATTCCTCTATTTCTTTCATTGTAATCTTGTGTTTTCGTTTTAATCATATTTCTTTCCTCCCATATTTCATTCGTCCCACATATTGAATTCCTCCCACTTTTCCTTCCTCCCATATTTCATTCCTCCCACATATTGAATTCCTCCCACTTTTCCTTCCTCCTAAATTTTATTCCTCACACATATTGAATTCCTCCTACTTTTCCTTCCTCCCACATATTGAATTCCTCCCACTTTTTCTTCCTCCCATATTTCATTCCTCCCACATATTGAATTCCTCCCACTTTTCCTTCCTCCCATATTTCATTCCTCCCACATATTGAATTCCTCCCACTTTTCCTTCCTCCTAAATTTTATTCCTCACACATATTGAATTCCTCCTACTTTTCCTTCCTCCCACATATTGAATTCCTCCCACTTTTCCTTCCTCCCATATTTCATTCCTCCCACATATTGAATTCCTCCCATATTTCCTTCCTCCCACATTTCATTCTACTCGTTTTTCATTCCCTCAATATGATTTTATTGTTAAACCGATTATTGTTTCTCCCGCGCCTTTATTTTCCATTCTTTTCCTCTATCGGCCATTCTTCTTTCTTTTGTTACTTGAATTTCATTCCTTCTTGTTTTACCATTACGCTTTCTTTTATGCAAATTTCACAATATTTTTTTCCTGTGCTTTTTATTATCTCCTTATTTTATGTAATGCTTTGGCTTTTTAAATTCAGATCTTCCTTGCTTTTCGTCCATATTTTCAATGTTCATTCGTACCTTCTCACATTACGAAAATTGTGCTTTAAGTATCTGTCCGTAGAACTATTTACTTGCTTGTTTTCATGGCCCATATATACTAAGGTCATCGTCTATAACGCTGCCTTTGAAATGCAAATGAAATAAAGCGTTGCAATAGTTTATTTACTATTGTTCACTTAATACAATGCGTAAGTGCCACTCAGGGTAGAGATTTACAAAATGGGGTTGTTTTAAGGGCCTATAAAAAGTGGGTAAATGTTTCATACGGAGGGAGCGCTCCTGTCATATAATGAGAATATATAGGACGGAATAGAGTCCATTCTCAGTTTGAAGACGTTAAGGATATATTGATTGGGAAGCTTTTCCTCATGCATCCATTCCGCTTTGCAAAACTTCTAGGGAAAATGCTGAGTGAAAGTTTCTCCTTAACAATTGTATTCCATGAAGGGAATGTTTCCTAGGTTTGATGTTTTCTTTAATATTATTCTTTATATTTCTGATCATTTCTTCTTTCAGCCTAAATATATTTGGGAGATTTCTTTTGTTACATTTTTCTTAACTTCTGTTGGATTTTTTTTTTTCACAGATTATGCTCAATCATTTTTAAAATTTCCGTTCATATTTCCGTTCATGCCTGATTTTATACGTATATCTTACTTGATTTATTAAATGATCTTCCCTACCGCTGTCATTGTTTCGTCATATTTTTCGATTGTGTCAAACTTGATGACTCCATTCATTTCCCTGCAATTTTTCATTCTTTTGTCGTGCATTATTTTTTGTGCCATTTCGCGATTTCAGGATTCTTCACTTCTGTCTTTAAATCTTTTATCTTTCAGCTTATTTAGGTTCATTTCATCTTTTCATTCATTTCGCCACCATCTTTATTCGTTGATCTTTTTTTTGCTTCTCTTTTACAATCTGTTCTTTTTCGCTCCCGTCTTTCAATCCGTTATCTTTCATTCTTTTGTATCTTTCATTATTTTTTTATCATTCATTCTTTTTATCTTTAATTTTTTCAAACTTTCATTCTTTTTATATTTCATTCTTTTTATATTTCATTCTTTTTATATTTCATTCTTTTTTATCGTTCATTCTTTTTTTGCATTCATTCTTTTATATCTTTCTTTCTTTTTATCTTCATTCTTTTTATTTTTCATTCTTTCTAACTTTCATTCAATTTGACTTTTATTATTTTTTATATTTCATTCTTTTTTATGTTTCATTCTGTTTGTTTTTTTTTGGCAGACATTGTGATTTCATTTATTCGTGCCTCCATTGTTTCATTCACTTATGTTTCATACTAATATTACCTCACCTTTAGACATCATTCGTTTTCATTTCGAAGTTGCATTTTTGTATCGTTCATCTTCTTTTTACAACTCATCTCTTGACTCAATTCCTTTTTCTATCATCTTTCATTCTTTCCTTATTATTTAACATTACCTATACTTGATTTTCTTTCTTTATATTTTCTTACTTTCTTTCTTTCTTTCTTTCTTTGTCTCTTTCGTTATATTTTTCTTTCCTTCCTATAGTATAATACGTTTTGGCACTTCGACGTGCAATAATAGTTAACAAGCTTGTCTCGATAGATAAGTTACAATTGAGTAATGAATTCGATCCTCACTGTGAATCTTAATCTCAGCCTTGTGCCATAAATATGCTATGTTTAGCAACTCACTAAAGAGCACTTCAGAGTTGTGCAATGGTTAGCAAGCTTGCCTCGCTAGATCAATCACGACTGAATTTGGAGTTCGCTCCTCACTGGGTGCCTTATATTTTCGTCTTTTTCCAATATCTAAGATACGTTTATAAAACCACAATCATGTGTGAAAAATGAGTTTGATCCTCACTCGATGCCCCATATATTCGGCCTTATGCCACATCTAAGCTACGCTTAGTAAATCACTGTAATATAGTAATTCTTTTTTTTTACCCTTTTTGTTACGTGTATAATAGTTACAGAAGGTACGTTAGAGAAATGAATAGCGGCTCGGTTTTTGGAATTGGAGCGCCGAGTTCGAATTTCAGTCAAATCGATTACATTCACTTACGTGCTAATACCCTTGGGAAAGGTATGAAACTTCTACTCCCACCAGATATTGAATTTGGTCTACTGAAGAAAGAAATGACAACCTACTGTGGGGAATAAGTCTGCCTCGTCAGTTATGTTTCGAAAGATACATGATCGCCTAAGCGTGTATCACGTATGACACATAACTGAATGATATTAGTTAAACACTTCCTTCTTTATTTTATTTTATTCCTTTTCGGTCGTTGCCTATTTTTTTTTTGTTCTACATTATTCATCACCTCTAATCTTTCTTAAAATTTAACTACTCCTCTATTTTTCCATTCTGTTTTGCACTCGTCCGAGCTCTTTTTTCTTCCTTTACATTATCTCTACTCTTACTTAGAATTTTACAAGAGTTCTTAGAGTTTTACATCAAGGTTTTATATTCATAATCCTACCTCTCTTTGTCTCCTTCATTCGTTCATTCTTGTTTTTTTTTTTTTCACTCGCCCTATGTCCTTTTCTTTCTATTAATATAAATGCCGTGTTTTGTGCATTCGGTTTTGCTATCTGTCCTAATATTTATTGATTAATTCTATGTTTTATATATTTCTTATACTCCTTCCTTCAGTTCTTTCTTCCTTCACACTTTCTATCATTCCAAACATCAATGTTTTGTTCTATTTCTTTTCCTTATTTTAGAAGATCTATAAATATTCAAGTTCTGCCCTCTTCGACTGTCTGCATTTACATGAGTCCTCACCACCGTACAACCGTTTAGAAGTGAGTTCTTCCCAGTCTCTTTCCTTCCCAAAACTACGGTCTTTGGTTTCTTAAATCGGTTTCGATTTTTTTTACACTTTCTCATTTTCTACCATTTTCCTTCCTTCTTTGCTTTGTATTAGTTACTTCTTATTTCTTTTCCCACCTTTAAATGATTATTTTTTTTTCTTTTTCTTGCTTTTTGCACCGTCTGTTCAACACAAATGAAATTGTTGGTTATCGATTACTTATTACTCTTTGGCTTCTACCTGCAAGACGACACCCCAGCGCTTCACCATTTGCTTGCCCTCGACCTTACTCCAACTGACAACTCCACAACTACATTCACCTTTGTGCCAATTTTTCTGACGCCATATCAACCCCCTCTGATTGTCTACACTTATAGATAAATTCATTGCCCCGACTTAAGTGATCTCTTCAAATTTTTCATATGTGTAAATTACGCATACATGCGCAAAATTGCACAACATAGAAATATACCCATAATATATGCTAACGTGCCCACACACGCACACACAAGCGACGAGTGCACTGACGCACATATACACAGACATATACATTTTATGCAGATTATATATATATATATATATATATATATATATATATATATAGGCGTAGTTTTGAAAAGTTCTCAGTCCAGCCGATGTAAAAAAATCTGACTAAATGACAAAGCATCAAAATATTTCTGCCTTGTGTTTTTGGAGACTAGCGAACATTTTCAACATTAATCGTATACACACACACACACACACACACATATATATATATATATAAAAGTATATTGATTCTATAAACATATGAAAATGAATAGGGAAATATTATATATATATATATATATATATATAAGTGTGTATGTATATATATATAGATAGATAGATAGATAGATAGATAGATAGATAGATAGATAGATAGATAGATAGATAGATTGAAACTATTGTCTTCCTAGAAGTCAAAAGGTGTTACCCACTGAATTAAGCTCTTCTTAAAAAATAAACACTTCAAAAAAACATGCCAGGAAATTTGGCTTACAAAATGAAATTTTCGAAAGGTATCTAAAGCTGTGATAAGATATCAAAGTTTCTTCATTGCTTTTCCACCTTCCTCTATGTGGTTTCAACGCATTTATACAGCAGAATGGTTCCTATAGATTTGGGTGTCAACCTGGTAACAATTGGGTGTATTCGAATTTTACAAAATACAATGTTGACTAATCTGGACTGTCAGTTAAATAAAAACTGAGTTGCTGTAACCACGTTCATCTCTCTCTCTCTTCTTTCTCTCTGTATATATATATATATATATACACACATATATATATGTATGTATACACACACACACACATATATATATATATATATATATATATATATACATATATATATATATATATATATATGTAAGCAAATATATGGATATAAATCCGACAGTATGAAAGAAAAATACAGAAAAAAACAAAATTCTGAATATGCATTATTAATGTTAAAATAAAGTCGACGTCGGACGTTTCGGTCTATTTAAGACCATCTTCATGGACATTTTCATTTAAACATAATTAACATTATAACTTATAACAATTTAACACAAAAAAGACGATGGACATAAGAGCCCAACTAATTCAGACAGATAACTGAAATTTTATACAGATCAGCGTTCTGTTTAAATATGATCACGTAGTGGTCACGTGGGCGATGTTGTTAAGACGTATTCGAAGATGATTTCAAAAATTAAAAAATATCAAAAAGTCGAATGAAAATTTTTATAAACAATTAAAAAAATCTCTTCCGTTGATGTTGGAATACGTAGTGATCAATTGGTTCTTATATCTTCAACAAGCTTGAAAGTCTTTCCCGTAACAATGCAAATCCAAAAGTGATTTAAAAACGATGGAACAGTTCTAAAACAGTTCGATAAAATTCCATTCTTTACTTGATCAATAGATTCCCTCGTCCAAGCTTGAAATCTTCCACGTTATAAAGTAAATTCAGGTTTGTATATTTTCAGTAGACAGTATGTAAGCAAATATATGGATATAAATCCGACAGTATGAAAGAAAAATACAGAAAAAAACAAAATTCTGAATATGCATTATTAATGTTAAAATAAAGTCGACAAACCTGAATTTACTTTATAACGTGGAAGATTTCAAGCTTGGACGAGGGAATCTATTGATCAAGTAAAGAATGGAATTTTTATCGAACTGTTTTTTAGAACTGTTCCATCGTTTTTAAATCACTTTTGGATTTGCATTGTTACGGGAAAGACTTTCAAGCTTGTTGAAGATATAAGAACCAATTGATCACTACGTATTCCAACATCAACGGAAGAGATTTCTTTAATTGTTTATAAAAATTTTTCATTCGACTTTTTGATATTTTTTAATTTTTGGAAATCATCTTCGAATACGTCTTAAAAACATCGCCCACGTGACGACTACGTGATCATATTTAAACAGAACGCTGATCTGTATAAAATTTCAGTTATCTGTCTGAATTAGTTGGGCTCTTATGTCCATCGTCTTTTTGTGTTAAATTGTTATAAGTTATAATGTTAATTATGTTTAAATGAAAATGTCCATGAAGATGGTCTTAAATAGACCGAAACGTCCGACGTCGACTTTATTTTAACATTAATAATGCATATTCAGATTTTTGTTTTTTCTGTATTTTCTTTATATATATATATATATATATATATATATATATATATATATATATATATATATATATATGTATATTTATATACAAAGAAATAATCATACAGAGAATCAATCAGCAATATTAATGCTATTATTGCCGACATCCATCGCTAGTAGTGTATAATGTATGCATTAAAATACTGTTAATCCATAGAGTGATTTCTATAAAACTGTTTTCTGTTGTTTCCAGTTTTTTTGTTTTTTTTTTAAATGGAAGTACTTTCGAATAATCGTTTATTCATCGTCAGGCATATTTTTTTCTTATAAAATCAAAAGCTTGGAGACGAAATAATTGTTTGTAGACCAAAAGATGTCTTTTTTGAGAATGTGCTATTATTGACGGTTGTGTACAATATCGGGACGTGCAAAGACGCAACACTAAGTTTTTCAAAATTTTTAGTGAGAATTTTTATTTGAATTTTTCTTGTGATGTGGTAAATTCCCGTATTCTATTTTTACAAGTGTTTTCAGTTAATATGTCATGAACTAAGTATATAGTTCAATTAATATAGTGTTATGCCTTAGTAGTTTTTTTATCTGAATTTTTTTGTACTGCGTAGTTCATAGATGAGGATCACATCAATCTATAGATTAAAAGTATTTTAATGCATACATTATACACTACTAGCGATGGATGTCGCCAATAATAGCATTAATATTGCTGCTTGATTCTATGTGTGATTATTTCTT